GCCACTGAAATGTCATTCTCCAGGGGAGGTTACTATACAGGTGGCAGAGGAAGTAAGCTGCAGAGTTTTATAAAGCATTAAACATTTTTATTTCTGAATTGCATAGTTATCGATCAAGGAACGCTTCCTAGAAAACTTAAGGAAGCATATACTTTGTGTTGGCTAAAATATGCCAGTATTTTACTGGCTCTTCATTATTAGCAGGAATCTGAACTGTGAGGTGTGAACATAGCTCTTGTTTTGGATGGTTTGCCTGTTCTGTACCTTGTTATAATGGTTTCATGGCCAACGCTTTGCAAGGATTTTTGGGGTCCTTGTCTTTGCATGTAGTAGCAGAAGCCAGGTTTAAATGTCTGAGTACACCTGAAAGTTTTTAGTATTTGTTTGAATTTGAACACTCTTCTACTAAAAGAATAATACATGTTTCTATTTGGCCTACGTGATGATATTTTTATTTCTTGCACCAGGATATCAGCTCTTTTTACTCATTTCTTCTATAATGCACACAATGCAGTCAAGATTTCCCCATGCACCCAAAAACTCTGGGTGCAGAATTTTAGATTCTTTACAAAAGTGAAGGCTGAGCATCTTCGGATTATTTCTCAGATCTCTTCAGGAGGCCTTACATCTTACCTCTTTAAAAGAGAGCAGATATCTTTAAGACTCCTGCTTCTTGGAAAATGGCCATTCAAACTACCCCAGGCTGCCTGCTCCTGGCACCCTGAGTGAATTTTGAAAATAAGAGGGTTGGGTGTTCCCAGTTTCTCAAGTTCCTTTTCAGACTGCTACTTGTTATCTTGCTTTCCTATCAATACCATCTTTCTCATTTCCTGACTTCAGGAACTTCACAAAGATCAGAGTGACCACTTATCACTTTAAAGGCACGACGGAGATTGAGCAGCTAGTAGTAACTTAACATTCAGCAGCCGAGCCAGGAAGAAATCAGAGATTTCTTAAGACCCAGGGCAATACCTTGTCTAAAGAGGTGCATTATTGTGTCTCTGTCTGCTGTTGTAATTTGGGATGAGAGAGTATCGCTGTGTTATTTCCAAGTATTACACAAAAAATAAATTGTAAGAGAAAAGAAGTGTATTCAGATTTTTTCCTATTCTAGGTGGAAGCTAAATGAAAATAACTACACTTTTATTTTTTTGAAGGTGGGGGAGAGATGTACTCAGCACCCTCCCCCCTCAAATTAATTTTAGATTGGAGTGGAAAGGGTATCACTTCTGCTGTCAGCGCAATGTTGGTACCACCTTTTGATGAACTGGTAGCCTTTGACTGGTGGCACTGGTTTGGACTGTGAGGAGGGGACACCCCAACTGTTCGTTCTGGTGACACTTGTCCTTTCCTAGCATTTGTCTTGCATGCAGAAATCCCTGTTGTCTCCATCCAGTTCACTTTGAACAGCGACTTTGAAGTTTAAATCTCTGCTCTACTTCAGGTCAATCTGTTATTGAAACATCCTACTGTAATCTGTGCCCTTCCAAGACAGGCTTATGCAAGTATGCAGATGCTTAACTATTCCCAACATAGCTAGAAGAAATTCTACCCTGATTTGTTTTTCTTGTTGTTTCTCATGGGAAAAGGCTTTCAGAGATGGGGTAAAACATGAAGATACAATTCTTTTAGTCTTTCTCAATTTATTTGCTTTTTCCTCTTGTTTTCTGCTAATCTGCAGAGGAATAATGTAACGTATCAAATCTGTTTACCATTTGAATGCTCTGGGATGCTTGAATGTTTCTCATAATTTAAAAAATGAACTGCCAAACAAAATTATTTTGGGTAGACGCTCTAAAAAATATAGACTGCAAGAACCACAAAAACTCCAAGGTAGAAATTAGCTTTTTTTTTTGGCCAGAGCAATTTTTGATGAGAAATGAACTGAGCTTTATTTCTCAAAAGTCACAGCTGTAGATCAGTTAGAAGCTTGAAGGACTGCTTAATTCCCAATAGGTGGCACTTCGGTCTACAGCTCCGAGAGTTGTGCCAAGAAGAGAAAATCAACAAGATCTTCACTGGATTTATGTAGGCCAGGCTTTTCTTCTGTGACTTGCCTTTCAAAGGTGATCTCACAGGAGCATAATTAAAACCTGATGATGTTATTAAATAATCATGTTGATTTGTGTCCCTCGGTTGCAGTCCTGTGCTTGCAAGGTTTTGTGTTGTTATAAACGTGGCTGGTTCCTGCTTGTGAAAATTAAGGTTAGACAGTGCTGGACCTAAGCCCAGGAATTTTGCACCTGTAAAAGATCCTGTGTAAAAGGTCTCCAGATTGTTTTGATGATGGACCTCAGTTTCAGATTATAACTAATCAAATTGCAAGTTAGTGGAGAAGAAAAAAGAAAAAATGAACAAATGCCAGAAGTTTGTAGTTGGTAAAACTGGACAGCCTCTAAATTTGCCCACTTCTCAGAGGCAGCAGTACTCTGGTAGTTAAGGTGTTGGCCTGGGACTGGAGGGAGAGAGGTAGGAGCTCAGACTGGGGCTCAGTCATACTCTGTTCTGGAAACTGCTAGAAACAGTTTTACCTTTTTCTTCATCCTCAGCTTATCTCTCAAGAAGAGAAGGACTGTCTTTCATTAGACATTTAAGCGCTTGGAGCAGAACAGAAGCCTGGTCTGAGTTGCAGGGGCTACAAGTGCTATAATATGAATACTGCTAATATGCTTTATTTGTGATGTTTCCGTTGAGTTGGATCATTTTGCCTAGGATTCTACAGACATACAAAAAAGCTACCTTTAAATACGATTTTTTTTTCTTCCACTATCTGGATGCTGGGTGGGAATTTTGAAGAAGTTGTTATTTGTTTCTGATTTTTTTCTCAGGATTCCTTTAAGATGTTGATCCTTTTTTCTAACAGGCTTAACTTTCTCCATTTATATCAATAATAGTGTTATTTACTCTTTTGTCTTTGAACTGAAAAGTCATAAACTGCATTATGTAGTCTAGTTATATAAAGCAAAAAAAGGGGGAAAAAAAAGGGGGGGGGGAGACCTCTAATTCTGCATGCAGTCCACATAGTAGATGCAGTTTGGGGCTGATTATCATAAGTAGCATGAGTTAAAATCGATTATCAAGTTTCTGAGAACCGCTGTCCTTCCCAGTTATTTTGATTTATTGATTTTTTATGAGGAGGAGCAGTGATAAGCTCAGGGTCTGAAGAGGATCAGAAAGGCCAGTGTACATTAAGGTTATTGCCTTGTTTCATGCTGTGATTTATGCAGCCAAGGTACTGACTGCATTCTTCTGTTCGCTGTTACTTTATTTCTTCTCATCGTTATAGTATTTCATGACTTAAAGACAAGTGCCCTCTGAGAATCTGCTCTGTTGTCTCTAATGTTATTATAGGCTGAAGGTCTGATTATTGGAAGTGCTGAGCCCTTGTAGTTCCAGTTGAGTGAATGGAAGTTGAAGGTGCTCTGAAAATCATGCCTCAAGGATTTTATTCTTTTAAAGGGATTGATTCCTGCCTCGTAAATATAGGTCTCTGCTTTGACTAATTCCCCCTTGGCTGCACGTCCTTCGAAGTAAATGGAGTTTATTTGATTAGAGTGAAACCTGGTGCTCCTAAATTAACTCTCATCCTAACTACAGAGCTGAGGAATTGATTAGATCTTAGTAAATTTGAGGTTAAAATTAAGCCTCAAATCTACAATTAAGCTTCAGAGTTTTGCTGTTTAATTGGAATATTGCATCTTGGGAAAGATCAGGAACCACTTTTATTTGAGGCTTCAGGTCATTCTGAGCCCGACTCATGTGCCTATGGCAGCAGCTGCTATCATGGCAGTGGTAATTAAACGCACCAAACAGATGGATGTGCTGCTAAAAGAGGCACTGGGACCAAGTGGTGGCGGCCAGCTGAGGGAGTCAGCCTAGCTGTGCCATTCGCGTATTCCTGCAGAGAGTCTTAATCCACTTTCTGCAATTCCGCTGAGAGAGTGCAGGTATCAGGGACGGATTTCCAGTGTCAAGAAAAAGGGCAGTTTCTCCTGACATGCAGTACTTCTGCTGTTCTCGTAGTGGGGGAGGCTTATCTAAGTGGTGGCCACTTGGTCCTCAGAATAAGGATGAGTACAAGTATGTGAGTCTGCCCCTACTGAAGTAGCCTTGCAAGTCATGGCAGGGTGTAAGGAGCCTTTTTTCTCCTTGGCTAAAACCAGTTCTTTCCCCAGGTTCTTCAGAAATGCCCAGAGGTTAACACTGCTTCAGCCCTACCCTTAGTTTTTGAAAATCCAGTCTTCACTCTAGGAGTTGCATATCAGTTTTGTTAAACTGTACACTCCCTTTTTGAGATCATCATTGTAGTGTTCTTTTAATTTGCCTTCCTTAAAACCAGTATTTGATTAAAGAGGAAAAAACAACAAAAGGAAAAAGGGACAGATGACAAGATCCATGTATTGTTTTGTTTCCAGTTCTTTTCATAGAAAAAAATTAATCAGTTATATTCTCATCTATACGTTTGTCTGGATTTCTCTGGTTACCTCTGTGGTGTATCCGCATGCAATATGGTAGCTTATCTGCTGTGTCAGCAGAGCTTCACATTTCAGCTTATACACTGATGTAGTATTATTCTGTGACTGGTTGGGTTTGCTGTCTGGTTCTTAGCAGAAAATATAGTATACACTGTAGCAGTGGGGAAGGTTGGTCTTTTGATGAAGAGACTTGTGGCTCTGTCTGTGCCTTTCCCTGTCCCAGCCTGAACTTGGCACAAACAAAGCACACACTGAGAGGATATTCAGGCAAACAGGTAGTTACCTCCTCTTGATTTTGCTTCTGGTCTCCTGGAGAGAGGCTCTGTACTGTGTTTTATTGCCCTTTGGACTGTAGACCAAGGCTGGCTTTTCAGAATAATGGTTTGACGACCTTTACTGTTAAAACTGGGATTCCTGACAGTTACAGTACTTTCTACGTTGTGTAGTTGAGTTCTGTTTTATTTGTTTGTTTTTGAAGTTCCTGCCTGTAAATATTCCACTCCCCTTGTTTTTTTCTGTTTTTAGCCAGTGAGACCTGCAATGATTTCCATCCCATGTTCTTCACCCATGACAGATCATTTGAAGAATTCTTCTGTATCTGCATTCAGCTCTTGAACAAGACATGGAAGGAAATGAGGGCAACTTCAGAGGACTTCAACAAGGCAAGAAAAAGGGTTGGGAGGGACTATCTGGGCAGGATGGTGAAGCAAGGCCCTATACTTGTACCTAGAGGCACAGGGATTTACTGATCCCACTTCTAAATGCTGTGGAGTTTCACCTGTTCAGCTTCTTTGCACATTAGAGGGACAGCATTTAGAAGGCACGGGTAGGGGATAGGAGGTGTAAGGGAAGTTTCTAGACCTTTTTCAGTCATGTTGCGCTTCAGACCCTGAAGATAAAAACCTGGCTTGAGGGGAAATTCTCCCTTTTAGTAATATTACGCTGAAGTACTGCAGCCTCTAAGGTTGTAAATAATGCAAGGAGAATAATGCAGTGATAGTTCTGTTCATCCCTTTCATTTCGTTTGAGTGCTAAAGTGGTAAAATATACAAGAGTGGACGTGATCCTGACAAAGTGCAGTGCAGCCAGCTAAAAATTCTTAACAAAAAAGAAAAATCAAATCACACCTTTTTTATTGAAGAGAGACATCTGGAATTGTCAGACAATCTACTGACTAGTAGTAAAGCTATGGAGAACAGGGTTGGCCAGCTGAGTGGGCCCTAAATGTCCCGGTTTAACTCTCTAACTTACCAGGAGGCTGGAGAGCATCATTTGCACTTTGCAAGAATGTGAGACTCGCACTTCTCTGGCCAGCAGGCATCCTTATCTTCGTTGGCATCCTTTGACTGGATCTTGAGCCCTGCCAGAGACTAGGTGTTGGTTATAGAGATGTTTGTTGAGAAGTCTCTACCTGCTCAAGTTGTTCTTGATTTCTTAATGCTTTTTGTAAAGGGATGGGAATAATAAACTGTTTTGACTCTGTCATTTCTAACAGTTCAAGCAGTTATGTTCAGCTTGTGTATATCCTTTCTTCTAGTCACAAGGAGATTTTGTGCTCTCATCCATTTCCGAATGACATGTGATGGTGAGGTACATTAGTCAGCTGATAACCATCAGTGAGTGAAGCAAACTATTGTTGTGTGGGCTTGTGAAGCACTTCTGGATTGTGGGGGATAATATGTTATATAGTGGTACCCAAGGTTTACCCATCTGGTTGGTGGGTGACAGCTGCCAGTGTTGATGGCTTTACCAAACCAAACAATACTCTTTTTAATTCTTTAGTACTAAGAGGCTTTGGTGATCAGGGCACGTTCATATTCTTTCTGCATCTTCTCTGTGTGCTAGGGATATCAATTTTTAAGCAGATAGTGTTGAAATCTTGGCAGGCAGAGGCCATGTAGACCCAGGGAGCGTTCAGCCCATGCTTTGAGGAGTGAATAGAAGAAGGCAGGCCTTACCAGTTGCAGTAGTCTGGCTTATATGAAAAGTCCTCTTTTCTTTGTGTTACTGTTTTTCAGTTTCAATAACTTGATTGCTGTGGTAATGTATGAAACATCACTTTCCTACAGTTTGTTATTCCCTTGGGTGATGGGATCTTTCTTTTTCTTCCTTCTCCTTTCCCCTCCTCCTGCAAAATCTCCAAAAAACATAATTAGAAACGCTCAGTATATTGGATGGTAGCTTTTAATAGCTGGAGTTTCTGTTGGAAAGCTAATCCACCTGCTGTGATCTTTAATAATAATTGAAGAAAAGGAGCTTTTTTTGTTTAATTTTAAAATTTTGATTAATCAGGGGAAATTGCACATATGAGAGGTGGTAGGAGGTCTATGTACACATATGAAGATTTGTTTCCTCGTCTGTTGCGTTGGAGAGTGATAGGTGCTAAAAGAGGTGAGGTAATTGGATGTTTTCCCTCAGATTTCAGTGCCTGTTTTCAAGGGCTTTTTAAACCACAGATTAAGATTTTATTTTGATAGCAAAACTACATACTGCTCCACCATGGTTCCTCAGTCCATGTTGTGGAGATTTCATATCAGTTTGTTCATTTTAAGGCTTTAAAAAAAGTGACTAAAACAGCACTTTGTTCATAGTTGGAAAAATTTGATGGTCTTTTAGTGAGACGTTCCTGATCTCATGCTTTGTCTTTTAGACTCTCATTCATTAAACTAGGCACCTTTTTTGTCAGGCTCAGCTCTTACACCACTGTGCATTAGAAAAAAATTCTCAGATCTCTATGGTGATAGCGTGATACTGTCAGACACAGAGCCTCTTTTACAGTCTCTCAATATACTAGTAGAGGTCTGAATAGAATAATTCAGTCAGGCAGCTAAGCTTATTTTATGCCTTTATAACATTTTAAGACATACATAATTCATGCCTGGTGAGTTTTCTAGGGAATTAAGTGCAATTGGATAGACAGACATGCAAGTGGCAACAATTCCATTTGAAACCTTTTTGTTTTTCTTTGAGCATACAGATGATCAAAGGACATGTTACAAGCTCTCTCCTCCAGTCATTTGTGAGCAGACAGCACAGTTTACGACTTTGAAAATGTAATCTTGTCTCCAAACTTTACATAACTCTGCATGTTTTATCATGACAGAAGAAAAGGTTATGTATTGATTTCAGAGTCGGTGGTGGTTGCAGAGAAGCTGGACTGAGTTTGCTGACTTTCCAGCAGAAACCAGAAACCTTCCAGAAACCTTTGTCACCAGCCTGCCCATTCAAATGGGTGCCCATCAGTCAGTTCTCCATCTCGTCAGGGCCACCAACTCTGCACTGCCTGCTCGGGGTAATCAGGCCTGGCTGCCACACAGGCTGCTAAGTACTTCATTTAAGAAGGGTTTTCTTGGTTTGGTTGACTTTTTGTACATGATGGTAGGTGGAATTCAAGGTAACCGTCCCACTGTAGAGTTCCTCTCATGGTGTCACTTTAATGTAAACTCCCAATGGAAAATTCTATGTTGATCTCCACTAGCTGCGCTTAGGTAAGTGAGTCTGGGTTGTCCTAATTAGAATTTACATTGCAATAGCTATCTTGTATTAGTGATCCTGAAAAATACACTTATTATTTGCCATGAGACAGGACCAGCACAGATGGGAAGGACATTCTGTGAGGGACAAGATTGTCCTCTTACCTCTCTTCTCCAGATATTTCAGACTGGTGCTTCTTACAGCTTTGAAGTTCACATGCTAATAGGAGGAAGGGTGAACAAATGGATTATTTGATTATTTTAATTGCAGGGCCAGCCATAGTTTGTCTTATTAGACCTGTGGAACAATTTGCTAATTCTGTGTGTAGTGCAAAAAAAAGTTTACTGCTTTCAGTCCCACTGTGTAGTAAGGAACAAAATTATTTGATTCACCCACCGAGGTTTTGAAGCTGCTTTGCAGAGAATGAGTATAGTATATAGGGTTGCTAGATAGCCAGAAATCACTAGTCGTAACAAAGACACATCTTTCTTGCCTTTTCAACATGACTAAAGTTAAGTAGGGGACATCAAAACTGCAAAAACTTTAATACTCCCGTGGTGTATAGCACTTGAGATCAAAGTCTATTGCATTCACTGAAACTACAGGTTCGGGGAGCAGGAAAGGGGGTTGACTGTTGATGCAACTGTTTTTTTTTCATTACTGAGAACTCTAGTTAACTTATTTTGTCCTCTGGCCATATGTTTTAGATCATCAGAGTATAAAATCCCAACTTCTCAATGTTCTTACAAAAACATATTCTGTATTGCGGTAATGAAAAAAACATTTTTTCTGACTTCAGCCTTTTGGCAAAGCTGGTGTGCGTTTTCATGGTGGCAGACCCCGGTACCCCCGAGCCGCGGTGCTTGTGCTGTGCGCCTGTTTCAGTGCCGTGCCGAACCATAGCACTGGATCCTTGGTGCAGGAGTGGGGTCTGCTCTGCAAGACTGTAATACGTGTCTCTGACAGCTATGCGCATAACAAACTGTGTGTTGTATGGTAATCAGTATAGTGGATACTGTTCACAGTGGCAGCAGATGCGAACAATAAATGCCCTACGTGAGTCCTGTAATTAAATACCAAAGCAAACACTGAGGCATTTGATAACCACAAGATGTTTATTGCTCATGCTTAGACCCTGTGAACATTTTACCTCGCTCTGTGACAAGATAACAGAAAAGGCAGCCAAGCATAACATAAAAATGAAAAATACTGTTTCTGTGCTCAGTGACGGTTTGGAAGTGCCATGCCACAGGTTTCTCAGCTTCTCTAGCATTGCTACATTTTAGGTACCTTTAGGATGAATAATTGCTGAAGGCTAGGTTCAAAATGTGACTAATTGCTCAAGAGCAAGATTTTAAAGAGAGTAATTGTATAAGTGATGTTGTGTGTGGAAGCAGGCCGTGTGGCCCAACACCAAAATCGGATAATGTAACTTAACCATAAGGGAGCAAAGGCCTATGGAGGCAGTCGGGAAAGGCTCAGGGCAGCGACGCGAGGTGGCCGCAGCAGAGGGCCTGTCGCCTGCTTTGCAGATCCGCTGCAAGTAGGGGAGCTGCCAGGGCAGGCTGCGGGCTGTCGGCAGTCCCATCGGACACACCACCCTTGCTGCAATCGCCCCGTCCCCCTTTTTGCAGCTGTGCTGCGTGGTGGTGGTGGCGGCTCCATGCTGGCCTGCAGGTTTGGCATCGCCCCTGGCAGCTGCGCCGGTCAGGTCCACAGCGTGCTCCAGGGATCCCCTCTAGTGGCAGGATCAATATGCTGCACTTCCCAACGCTTTGCAGAGCTGGCCAAATTGCAGTATCCCCATTTTGCAGGACCGAGATCCAGTGATCTGACAGCGAAGCAGTGACAAGGCCAAAAGCACAAAAGTGGTTCCTGGCCGATTCCTCCTTCCCCGTTTGCCGCCCTGTTTCACGGCTCTTGGCTGCAGCCGCAGCGGCAGCCCCAAAGGCGCAGCTTCGTTCTGCGCCTGTGTCCCGCTTCCACCCCATGCGGAGAGGCTTGAAGGAGGATAGCACGTGATAGCTCTGGGAAGATGAAAGGCCTGTTGCCTCTAAGAGGAAAAATTGGTTTAAAAACAAACAAACAAAAACTTGAAAGTAAAATCTTTCCAGTCAGACACACAAATCTGTCTCACTCACTTTTCCTTTCGGTGATAAATATGGGAAGGAATCCTGAATAGCTCTTC